CAATTTCTAGTATACAAGTGGTATGCTTGATCTCTCTCATATATATATAGATACATATAAATATATAAATATAAATGCATATAGATATATAGATACATATAGATATATATGTATATACATAAATATAGATACATATAGATACATATATGTATAAATTTAGAATTAATGGCATACTTCTGATTCTCCAAGAGTTTGCAGGATAAGCTTGAATCTCTAAAAAGTGACTATAAGTTTGTGGATACTACTACATGTTTTTTGTTGTTCTTACAACTTTTCAATGAAGTGTTGACAGGTCAAGATACAAACAAGTGAAGAGTGATAGTAAAAAAATTTAATATGTCCAAGGGCCAGCCAGACAACATGGATGAATGAAGTGGTCACACCTTAAAGGAGCTGACTCTAGTGCAGCTTCAGTTGAGGTTTGTCAGTTCAGGGAAACAAGTTCATTGTCCTTAGGGCTTCTGATAGTTTGCTAGAAGACTTAACAAGAATTTCAGTAGTATTCATCTTTAAAAAAACTAATTAACAGAATCGAGCATTGGGTGGATGGAAGTAAAAGTGAAATATAATGTGAGTGGGGATGGATGCAGGTACATATGTGTTTGTGATTTAAGGGATGGAGTAGCAAGGGTAGTGCAGCAAGCACATGGGGGAAAATGACATACCAAATAAATGTACCACGTGTGAAGAGGTTCAATGTCTGGATAGAACCTTTCATTCTGGGGAGCTGGAAGTGGTACAGCATGCAGGGAGCACTGGAGTAAGATTGGGGAGTGTGGGAGGCAGAAGTTGTTGAGTAAGGGGAGGTCATATATCTTTGTAGAGTAGTGCAAGGAATTTCAGCTGATCCTAGAACACTGATTAGTCTCTGAAGGGCATCAAAAAGAAATAGAATCCAACTTTCAAGTTTGCATACATTCTGGCTTCAAAGTGGTGAATGGATAGAAAGAGTCTAAAAGTAGAATGTTGTTGCAGGGGTTAAGGTAGAGGTGAGGGGCCCTGTACCAAGAGCGTGACTGAAAGAAGCACTTGCATCCAGAGACGCATGGGCTGGGATGGGGAGAAGGATGGCTATGAGTGAGGTGGGAGGGGTGGGGAGAGATTTTGGCTTTGTTTCTGTGCAGTATCTAAGTTTCACAGCAGATGCATACCTCAAACAACACTAAATATAGTAGGTAATGTCATCAGAAAATGCAGGGAACTGGCCACCATTCTGTGTGTGTTTGTGTGTGTGTGTAGCTGTGGGGTGGGTTTTTTTTTTAAATATTGAATGCTTAATAAGTATACACATTAAAATGGAACTTGACCTCCAAATTAAAATGAAACTTAACCTCCTTTTATCCTTTGTAAAAATGAAAAGCATCCAGAAGAAAGCTGGTATTTAGTTCATCGTGCAGTTGAGGTCATATCTCATCATGTCGTATTTTGTCAGCATCTGGAAGTGAAATGTCTGCTTATTTGGGGCAGTCTCTCCAGGCTCTGTGTGTCTCAAACCTCAAGGAGTGCATTTCTTCTTCTAGGGGAACCACCTCCATCACCTTCTCCTCCATTTATAAACTTGTTGACTAAGTCACATGCAAGCAAATGTGCCATAGATCTTGCATTCTCTACCTCTGCTGGAAGAAAAGTGACACTAACAAGATAGATGAAGAGTTATTCAAATCCACTGTGGGGAGTGACTGCAAAATAAGGAAAACAAAAAAACACGAAGCATTTGCTTGCATAAATCCTCCCCTCTTTATTCTGCACAGTCTCTAGGAAAGAAAGGCTGTGTCTTCCTGTGTGATGTGCGTGTGTGACTAATTGATTTATCTTGTGGGTAAAAGGAGATTTCCTGAACGAAATTGAGACCGACAGAAGAATGCAATTTGGGTTTGGCCTCCTAGCCTGCTTGGGTATCACTTACCAGAACTGAAAACACTGACACAGTGAAGTTTTAGCATTGCTTCAAATAAGAGATTTGATTTATCTCTTAGTGATGTGCTCTTTTCACCTTTAGATGCAGGGGTGATTTTAAAAGGCTGCCCCCCTGAACCCTACATGTCATCCCACCATCCTGGTTTTTTTTTTTTTTTTTTTTTTTGCCAGGATGCCTGGCAAAAAGAATTTCCTCTGAAAGACTATTTTGCATATTATTATTATTATTAGAAAGTGAGAGAGTGAGTGAGTGATCTTCCCATCCCCTGGTTCACTCCACAAATGCCAGCAACAGCTGGGGTTGAGCAGGATTGAAACCACGAGTCAAATATTCAATCTGGGTCTCCCATGTAGGTTCCAGGGACACAAGTACTTGTGTTATATTACTGGTGGCCTCTCAGGGTATGCATCAGCTGGATGATGTAATTAAAAGCAGAGCCAGAAGTCAAGCCCTGTCACTCTCATAAAGGATGTGTCATTCCAAGTGGTGTCTCTTTTCTTTCTTTTTAAGTCAGAGTGAGAGAGCTAGAGTGAGAGCGAGAGCGAGAGTGAGAGCGAGAGAGAGAGAGAGATCTTCCATGTGCTAATTCATTCCTCAAATGGCTGTAATGGCCAGGGCTGGGCCAGGCCAAAACCAGGAGCCAGGAGCTTCAGCTGGGTCTCCCAGTGGTTAGCAGGGATCAAAGCACTTGAACCCTCTTCTGCTGCTTTCCCCGCTGCATTAGCAGGGAATTTTATCATAAGTGGAGCAGCCAGGACTCAAACCGATGCCCATATGTCATGCTGCATTGAAGACAGTGGCTTAACCCACTGCATCACAGTGCCAGCCACCCAAGTGGTATCTTTTCTTTTTATAGAATTTTATATATTTATTTTAAAGACAGAGTTACAGAGAAGCAGAGGCATAGAGAGAGAGAAAGGTCTTCCATCCACTGGTTCACTCCCCAGATGGCCGCAAAGGTAGTAACTGGGTCGATCTGAAGCCAGTAGCCAAGAGCTTTTTCTGGGTCTCCCAGGTGGGTACAGGGGCCCAAGGACTTGGGCCATCTTCTACTGCCTTCCCAGGCCATAGCAGAGAGCTGGATCAGAAGTGGAGCAGCCAGGTCTTGAACCAGCACCCATATGGGATGCCGGCACTGCAGGCGGTGGCTTTACCCACTATGCCACAGCGCCGGCCCTCCAAGTAGTGTCTTAATCTCTGTATCAAATGCTCTCCCCCAGGAATTCTTTAGGTTTCCTTCTAACATGCATCGTTGTTTCTTTTTTTTACATCTATCTTCCATGCATGAGATAACACAATGAGAATTCTCATGTGACCCACGTTTATTTTTATCTGGTAATCTATGATGTATAATGTTGTAGAATATGAAATTAGAACTGAATAAGGCTCGTGCATATACTAAGGATACAAAAAAAAAAGTCAAGTCAGTCTGTCCTTTGATCCTTTCCCTTCTGCCTTCTCTCCAGCAGCACATTTGGTAGATTGTGAAGACTTGGACTTGTCCTCCACCCACCCATGTGTGCGCGCACACTTTATCACATCTTAGTCTAGCAACTAATCAACTAAAATACGTTTCCATGAAGGGGATCAAATGGGAAATGCAGCGTTTGTTATCTCATGCCAGGAATATAAGTGTTAAAGGAGAAGCAAAGAAGCAAATTTAAAAAAAAAAAAAAAGAATAGGCCACTTAAAGAATTTGAAATATAATGTGGGGGTCTGCACTGTGGAGTAGTGGGATAAGCTCCCATTTGTAGCACTGGTATCTCATTCGGGAGCAGGTTTGTATCTTGGCTGCTCCTCTTCTGATCCAGCTCTCTGCTATGCCCTGGGAAAGCAGTGTAAGGTGGCCCAAGTCCTTGGGCCCCTGCATCTGCATGGGAGACCCAGAAGAAGCTCCTGCTTCCTGGCTTTGGATCGGCCCAGCTCCCAAAGACTGTTCTCTCTGTCCCTCCCTCTCTCTCTGTAACTCTACCTCTCAAATAAATAAGTGTATTTTTAAAAAAAAAAGAAATGTAATGCTGGCGCCGTGGCTCACTTGGCTAATCCTCCGCCTTGCGGCGTCGGCACACCGGGTTCTAGTCCTGGTCGGGGTGCGGATTCTGCCCCGGTTGCCCCTCTTCCAGGCCAGCTCTCTGCTGTGGCCAGGGAGTGCAGTGGAGGATGGCCCAAGTGCTTGGGCCCTGCACCCCATGGGAGACCAGGAAAAGCACCTGGCTCCTGGCTCCTGCCATCGGATCAGCGTGGTGCGCCGGCCGCAGCGCGCCAGCTGCGCCGGCCATTGGAGGGTGAACCAACGGCAAAAAAAGGAAGACCTTTCTCTCTGTCTCTCTCTCTCACTGTCCACTCTGCCTGTCAAAAAAAAAAAAAAAAAAAAAAAAAAAAAAGAAATGTGTGTGCTTTAAGAGAAGCTTGGGACTCTGCCTTCCTGGGTTCACTCAGAATTCCCAGTGCCAAATAAATGCCTGCTGATGGGATTTCATTTAATATCTTGGTTTGTTGTTTCTCAAAATGCATTTTTCTGGCATCAAAGAGGGCAGACTGGTAGAATCGTACATTTCCAATGGAAACAGGACACTCAGAAAGCTTTGATTTTACCCTGAAAGTCAGAAGCTGCACCCTAACCCACGTCTCTGCACTGTGCTACATATGCTTTAGGAAGTGCCTCTGTCGTGTCGAGCCTACCAGCCTGCTTCTACCTTTGCCAGAAGGGAAGTCCCATCGTGAGTCTCCTACTTCAGATTACAGTCTTCTGTAGACTGTGTACAGACCTGTTTTACTATATTTGCAGTGGACTTGGACATCTGAAACTTCACCCTTAAGGCCTGTGAAGTTCTGGATTCCACAAAACTATAGGCTGTCTCCTTCTTGAAGGAGATGCCACCGTTCCCAGCCTAGAAGTACATGCATTTTTTCCAGATTCTTTGGTGTCCTCTCAGTAGAAACTTTTTAGTGGAAAAGTTCAGCACAGTTTGGCAATGGAACAACAGTTAACTTTACCAATGTGGCTAGGAAACCTAAAATTATTTCATCCTAAAAACTGAAATACGGTTTTTCTTTTATTTATTTGTTTTTTGCCTGCAGGAGGAACATCATCAAGACAGAAAGGCTTCCTAGGATGCATCCGCTCCTTACACATGAATGGACAGAGACTGGACCTGGAGGAGAGGGCAAAGGTCACATCTGGAGTGAGGCCAGGTTGCCCTGGCCACTGCAGCAGCTATGGCAGCATCTGCCACAATGGGGGCAAGTGTGTGGAGAAGCATAGTGGCTACCTGTGCGACTGCACCAACTCACCATATGAAGGGCCCTTTTGCAAAAAAGGTAGGCCAGACGCTTTGTTAAAAATGTTAATTTCAGGAACCCACACCAGCATCACATATGGGCTCCAGTCCAAGTCCCAGGGGCTCTACTTTCGATCCAATCTCTGCAAATGTACCCTGGAAAGCAGCAGCAGATGACCCAAGTGTTTGGGCCCTTGTGGGGAGGGAACTCAAGAAGCTCCTGGATCCTGGCTTTGGTCTGTCCCTGCCTTGGCTGTTATGGCTCTTTGGGGGAATGAACCTGTGGAGGGAAGATCTCATCCTCTGTCTTTCCCTCTCTCTCTGTCACTCTGCCTTTCAAATAAATAAAATAAATCTTTAATATTTTTATTTCTTGAAGGCAGAATGACTGAGAGAGAGGAGAGACAGAGAGATTCCATTTGCTGATTGACTGACCTAATGGCCACAGTGGTTGAGGCTGAGCCAGACCAAAGCTAGGAGCCTGGAACTCCATCTGAGTCTCTTGCTGTCTTCCCAGTCCCATTATCAGGAACTGGATTAGGAGAAGAGCAGCTGGGACTTGAACCTGCCCTGATCTGGGATGCTGGCATTTCAGACAGTGGCTTAATGTGCTGCACCACAAACTGGTGCCAGGCACTTGTTTAGCTCCCTTGTGTAATGCAGGTATAGGCTGTGGTCAGGGTACACAGTACCCAGAGCCATGGAAAGCCCTCATCATTTACTCTCCCTCTATTTCCCTTGGTGTAGACACTCAGCATCATTGCATGGACTCATTATCCTCACCTGTGTCCATTGCAGACACAGTTGAACTGCATGGGTAATTACAGCACAGCACACTGTGGATGACAGTGAAGCCACCTGAGGACTGGAAATGATGGCCTCTCACTTCTGGTGTGTCAGCCAAATGTTAGTGACACAGTGATATTTTCTGTTCTATTCCTTCATCCACAAATGTCACCAAAGGACCATAGAATCTAACGCTGAAGAACCCTTAAAAATGCTAAGTCACCTAATTTTTTTTGCGAGAAAGAGCATAGGTACACGAGTAAATGCAATATTGGGTATCTAGTGAAATATCCCTATTTTCTAGATGTTGCCTAAGACATTTAAATTCTCTACTAATTTTAATGTATTTATTTACTTGTTTGTGTGCTTAAAATTTATAAGGCTGAAAGACAATGAAACAGGAACAACGCTAATTGCCATCTTCTAATTCGGTCCCCAAATGCCTGTCATGACCCATGGCTGGAGCCAAGAATGGACACTAGTAACTCAAAATGGAAGTTGCACATGGGTGGCCTCAGCTCAATTACTTGAGCCATCACTGATGCCTCCCAGGGTTTAACTGGAAATAAGAGTGGAGGCAATTTCAAACCCAGGCACTCCAATAAAGGACAAAGGTGTCCCAACAGGCAGCGTAACTGCCAGGCCAATCACCCACCTTAAAAATCTCTGCTTAGAGACTCCTATGCCATTCATGAGTGGATTGGGATTGGAACACAAAAGCCAAAATTCCTGTCTTGGTGCTCTTTCAACACTTCCCTGAGTTTGTAACTTCATTACATTGACAAAATTTATCATGATGACTCCACTTTGTAAAAGGAGTGATGGTCCTAGCATGAATCCATTAGAAAATTCAAGGGAACCACAAAAACTTTAAAAATCTTATTATTCACAGTAGGTAGCTACTTCAGAATGTTTATGGAGAATGCATATTATGAAAAGTGAGTGCACAGATTTCAAATGTTGTTTGCACCATAATAAACTTCTCTTAATTCTGTGTTTGCCATGTATGTTTTGAAGTGCTGTCACATCGACTTAGTAATTCTCAAACTAAAGTACAAAGTATTTGGTATATTATCAATTTTTGCAGTACTTTTAAAATTTATTGATTAGAAGGTAAAGTTTGTTGAGCAAAGAATGTAAGCAACATTTCAATAGGAGCATTTAAACTATTAAAAAAAACATTTTAGTCACTATGAGATATGCTTTAAATGCAATTATGGCAACAGTGAATAATTCTTGCTAATTCATTAAAATCCATTTTACAAGCATTTCTACCAAATAGTGTTTTATTTAGTCCAATTTGCTATTGGAACTTAAATACAACAGGAAAAAAAAAACCCAGCATGCAGAGTTTTCTTTGAAGGAGTCTCTAAACTCTCCATTCTTTCATCTAGTGTTCTCTCCAATTAGTTGGAATTACTGTTTGTTGTTGGTGTTGCTGTTTTTTGGAGAAAATGAATGGCAGATGTTGTAGATCCAACAACACTTGCATCCTGTATGGCAGCTAGAAACAAAGCAGGTCTCATCCCGTAAGTTTACTATGACCTCTGAGCCAGTGCTACTTGATTTTTACATCGGTGATCTCTGTATAGCTTCAGAAAGGTTTGCATGCCACCCTTACAGCAGCAGCATGTGCTAAAAGAAACACAAATACAGAATACACACTCCAAGGCCCACTTAATTCAGGTCCACAAACACTGTTTTACAGCTTCTGTACTCAACTTTTCTGTTTGGAAAAAACAAACAAACAAACAGACTCTCTCTACCCTTCTCCAAGGACATTAGTCAAGCATATCATAGATTATCTTGCTATAAATGTAGCCTAATTGATGTTGCTGCTGTTGGTGGTTCCTTTAATTGAAGGGACGCTTATTACTTCTTATCTTTCCATGTCTCTGTGTCACATGTTGGAACATTCTCCGTGCTTCTTCTCACTTTTTAATTTTTGTTTAAAGATTTTATTTATTTATTTGAGAGGTAGAGTTACAGACAGTTAGAGGGAGAGACAGAGAGAAAGGTCTTCCTTCTGGTGGTTCACTCCTCAAATGGCTGCAACGGCTGGAGCTAGACCAATCGTAGCCAGGAGACAGGAGCTTCTGTCCAGTCTCCCATGCAGGTGCAGGAGTCCAAGCACTTGGGCCACCTTCTACTGCTATCCCAGGCCACAGCAGAGAGCTGGACTGGAAAAGGAGCATCCGGGACTAGAACCAGAGCCCATATGGGATGCCAGCACCACTGGCGGAGGATTAAGCTAGTGCGCCACTGTCCCGGCCCCCCTACCTTTTAGTTTTTATCTATAAGTTGAACGGACAAATGTGTGCTTAGTCTGTTTAGCACACTTTATATTTCATGGTTTCCAAACTTTCCCTCCTTTCTGACAACTCTAAGGGAATGACTCATTCCATATTCGCTAATTGTGCAGTAAGTAAGATGGGCTTTTAAATCAAAACTTTTAATGGTGCCAGTTGCCTCTGGGAATGGTGGCCTGAAACTTATATGGAGAACTATCAGCTAGAAGATGGTCCTCAGCAGAGAGACTCTTCTATAAGCATAGTCATCCTTGATACTTACTAAAGCACAGTAGCTTTTAGAGAAATTAAATGCAAATGAAGCATTTTGGTTGGAGTTAATTACCCATGCCTGTGTCAGGGACATGATCTGTTGGCTCACTTTCTGTTTCTGATAATGGTGCATAGCAATAATTATCATACAATGAGCCAGCAGTGAACTAAAACTTGTGAGTACATACCTTACCCTTATACTAATAGGGTAGTCAGGCATTAGTAACAGAGTTTAACAGATGACGGCTTCAGAGGTTTATTGCCTCGCTAGTGAGTGTCAGAGTTGGAGGGCCATCCTGTGTTTTTGGGTGCCTTTTCCTGCATTAGGAGGAAGGTACAGTTAGGAATCCAAGCTGCATATTGCACCCAGGTTCTCCAATATATGATGCAAGTGTTTTAATTGATGTCTTAACTGCTGGGTTAAATGTTCACCCCACTGTGTGACTTTTTCATAATTTACATCGTACCGACTGTGAAATGCAATTACCTTATAGTTTTGATTTGCATTTCCTGAATGACTAATGATGTTGAACATCTTTGCATGCGCTGACTGTCCATTAGTATCTTCTTTGGAGAAATGTCTATTCAAATCCTTTGCCAATTTCTATTTATCTTTTTCTATCGTCCAATTGTAAGAATTCTTGTGGGCCGGCGCCACGGCTCACTTGGCTAATCCTCCGCCTACGGCGCCAGCACCCCGGGTTCTAGTACCGGTTGGGGCACTGGATTCTGTCATGCTTGCTCCTCTTCCAGTCCAGCTCTCTGCTGTGGCCCGGGAGTGCAGTGGAGGATGGCCCAAGTACGTGGGCCCTGCACCCGCATGGGAGACCAGGAAGAAGCACCTAAGCACCTGGCTCCTGGCTTCAGATCAGCATAGCACGCCGGCCATACAGGCCAATTGGGGGGTGAACCAACAGAAAAAGGAAGACCTTTCTCTCTCTCTCTCACTGTCTAACTCTGCCTGTCCGCATGGGAAGTACGGCCGGGCGCCTCCTTCCCTTTCTGTGGGTTCTGAATGTAATTCCTTTATTAGATACATGATTTGCAAATACATTCCCATTCTTTGGTTGTAGTTTTATTTCCTTATACTATCATTTGAAGCACAAAAGTTTTAAATTCTGGTAAAGTTTAGTTTAGCCCTGATAAGAAATCTTTGCCTGATCCAAGGTCATGGAGATTTGCACTTAAGGTGGCTTCCAGGAGTTTTATAGACTTAGCTCTTACATTTAGGTCTTTAACCCATGTGGAGTTTTGAGTTTTTTGTTTGTTTGCTGTTTTGAGGTAGAGTTGCAACTTCATGCTTTTGCATAGGACTCTCCACTTGTGCTAACACCATGTGTTGCTGCTTTAAATTGGCCTTTAGCTGCCCCTGCTGCATCACTTACATCTTATCTGTGTGTGACAATCTTGGTGTTTTCTTGAAATACTTTTTTCTAATTAAAAATGTTAGATAACATATTTGAGTATTTATTTAAGACTATGCTTTCAAAACTAGTAAAGTTAAAACCCAATTTAATGACCCACAGACAATGATGCTTCTGTTATATTTTATGTCATGATTTAAGTTAATTTTGTTTCGTAAGTATTCCTGTAAGATGTGTATATATCTGTAGGCATCATTTTTAATGATTGCAATAGGTTCTGTGTAGCTCAAATGCTTTCTCTTATTTAATGCATTGCCCCTCTGCCACCAGACCTACCTAAATTCAGATTCTGTCTCATGTACAACCTATAATCTACTATGTGTCATTGATTTTGTAACTCAACCTCAAGGTTCCTTGATTTCCTCACCTATAAAATATAAAAAAATGTAGGTACCTTTCACAAGATGTTTTTTAAAACCTGATGAGTCCTTCATAAAACACTTAGGCTAACTCCTGTCACATAAAGCCTTCTTAAATTCTTGCTTTTTATATTGTTTGGGGATTTTAGATTACCTCAAATTTAGTATCTAAATAATGCTGTGATAAATATACATATTGCTTTTTGTCCCAATCAAGAATTTCTATGAAAGATAGAATGTACATTAAATTGTTTTTACATATTGGTAAATGCCTATTTAAAAATTATTTAATGTTTACCTTCTTGTTAAATGCATATCCCTTTTTTCCCTTTTTTTTTGTTATGGTACATGTAAAAATATTCTGTAGCAGAGGAAAGAGGTTAAGAACCCCTATGCTGGCATTGTTTGGTTTCCCCCATTACCAGCTGATAGTCATTGTCATTGTCTCCACAGTCACCTCTTGTCCTTCTCCTTTGTTATTTTGAAGCAAATTCCATATATAATGTCACTTAATCCATAAATATTACACTATGTATTGCTAAAAGATATGGACTTATTAAAAACACATCTCCACAGGATCATCATGGTATAATTAGGTAATAATAAAAATATAATGATATATTTTAATATTATGAAATATTCAATCAGTAGTCAAATTTCTAACCATTTCATTTATTTTTAGATTGATTTTTTTCTAAGTTAATTATAGATTCATTAATCTCACATTAACCACTAGCCTACTCGTTTTCCAGGACTGGTCTTTATAACTGTTGTAATTCTAAATCTAATTCCAAGACTGTTATAAAGTCCAGCTAGTCTTTATGAGAGCCTCCTGTGCTCTGTACTTTTATATTTTGCCATCCAATCCTTCCATCCTGCCATGACTGAACTCACTTCCATTCAAATTTGCATAAGCAAAGACGGAGTAGGGTCCTTGGAGAGCTAAGATAGACAGAGCCAGGCTTCACTTCCAGCCAATCAGCTTCCCTCCCCAGGCCACCCTGCTTCTTAGCTCCTTCTCAGAGTTCACTTCAAAGTCTACTGCTAAGCTCCCATTGCAGGTTTTCCCAAGCTGCTCTGGGTCTCAAGGATGTCACACTCTGGAAATCATTGTCTCCACTCCTCACATGTCAAACCCTAGGCTTACTTCTGAAGGTGGGGGAGGGGGTACAATTTTTCCCTGAAGCTGTGTGAGTTTGTTGTTGTGACAAGACTCCTGTAACACAAAACAGATTAATGATCATCTATTCATATGTGCATTGTTCATTAGGTGGTTGAAAAGTTACTCAAAGCAGTGGTTTAGGGTCTAGAATTCCATTGGAGGCATGGAAACTGTGGGATGGTAAATTTATGGGAAGAAGGCCAGTTCCCAGTTTCCCATGGTGTTCATATCTCTGAGCTGGTAAGCAAACAGGAATTTCCATCTCTCTCTTTAGAAATAGGAGAAAGGGATTAGAAAGACCTTTGATTTTCTAACTTCTAATTTTCTTTAAAGCTTTGAGGCAAAAGAGAGTAGGTAGAGTTTCTCTGCATTTTGATTGTCTTGAGCTTATAAATAGCGATGTCCAGGAGGCAGATTTTATGGTGTCACATTCCAGTTTCTTCACATTCATTGAAGTCTGTCTGCTAAATGTGTGTCTTACCATCTCAGAATCTAATTAGTACATTTCCTTCTACCAGTAGTCACTCAAGGGAAAAGTGATAGTGTGGAGGCTATGGCCTGGAGTAGAGTGAAGGTCACTAGTAGTCAACTTCCAGCTGTTCTTCCATTTATCCTCATGGACTCAATCCATTTCATCAGGAAGCTTAGACTCTTAGAAGGTATAACATAAGAAACTGAAAGAATAATAGAGTCAGGGCCAGCATTATGGTGTAGCAGGTAAAGCCACCACCTGCAATGCCTGCATCCCATTTGGGCCCCTGTTCAAGTCACCACTGTTCCACTTCAAATCCACTCTCTCCAAATGAGCCTGAGAAATCAGCAGAAGATGGCCCAAGTGCTTAGGTTCCTATACCCACGTGGGAGACATGGAAGAAGCTCCCAACCCCTGGCTTTGGCCTGGCCTAGTCCTGGCCATAATCAGTAGCTAGAAGATTCTCTCTTTCCTTCTCTCTCTCTGTAACTCTGCCATTCAAATAAATAAAGTAAGTCATCAAAAAAGAAAGAATAATAGAGTCTAGGTGAATTGACAAATTTCATTTTATACACAAATGAACAATATCTAAGCATTAAAAATTGTTAGAACTGAGGTTGGAGAAATAGCACTGGTAGAAATGTGGTTTGAGATTTCTAAATATAAACTGTTCTTAATTTTTTATTTCTTGTCCTAAGTATAAAAAAGTGTTTATTTGTATATATGTACATATATATGCATATATATATATATATATATATATGCATGTGTGTGTGTAAATGCTGTTCATAAGACAATGGTCTGAACTTGACATATGTTTAAGCATACCCACATACACTGAATTAAATCCCTTTATTCTGGTAAGTAGGAGATGGTAATTCAAAATGCAGGGCAAACATCCCTGAGGAAATTCACCGTAGGAAAATGCTTGAATCAAGTTAATGATTAACCACAGCTCTTACTGTCACAGTGTTGGATGTATATTTTTACATTCAAAAATATCAATATTAAAACATGCATGCTAAATGCATAACATTTTCTCTGAACCTTAGTAAAAATGAACTAGTATTCCCAGTCTCCTAGGCAATATGCATAAATATGCAACTTTAATTTTTTTGGCACTGTTACAAACTGTTACAGAATTTTCACAAGGTGGAACAAATCTGCAATAGAATTAGGGAAGCAAAAGCCAGGTTTCATTGTGTTCTAGGTGCCACCAACTCAATCAGAGACTATCATGGGGATTTGGGGACATTCTACACATCATTCAGGGTAAGGGACCATTAATCATGAATTACTGATTACTGTGCATTTTTAGGGGCAAGGTTTTCTGCTAGATGTAAGCTATGTTGCTCTGTGAGGAGACCTTTCCTTCACACCCTGATACTGTATAGAGACAAAATTAAAGTGAACTCAAGAACAGCCTTCATCCCAGAACAAATAGTTCAGGATTTGGATGGATGTATAATCCAGAAGCTAATGTTATATGAAGGCTATTTGCACGGGCTCAGGTCAAATTCTCTTCCAACGTAGAGAGTCTCAGTTCATACCACACTGACAATCCTCTGGAGTTGGACACTATCTCCTTTATCCACAGGAAGTTGCTGAAAAGGTTGATGTTATGATTCCCATTCACCAGAGGACAACATAATCTCCACAGGGTTCGCTAGCTTGCCTGGGTCCACACAGCCGGCATGAAATTGAGCAGAACTTCAGATCTGGCACTGATTTGTGCTGCACTAACCCAAAATAATGGCAGTTGGAATGAGAGCTACCTACAGAGATGGTTGGATGATTTGCAGTTCCTACTAAGTGAATTTCATCAAATTGTAGATGCTTCATTTCTCCATGGTGGTGGTTTAGCTCTACTCAGCATACTGTGCTTAGGGATTGTTTCCCAAAGGAAGGCTACTTGTCCAAGTCTTTGCTACTTTTTGCCCCTGAATATCAGTGCTGAGACATTTAAAATGATTGAGCCAGGAGTAGGCATCCAGTCCCTTTCTCTGTGCTTTCCACAGATTGCTTTTTTTACTGTTTGCATTGGTCCTTACACAATCCCATAGAGAATAATTACTATCCTCACTCAGTGACTTAGAGCCCACTTCCAGAGTCATCAGGAAAGCATAACTATAAGGATCACAAATTTGCAAGGAAGGTGGTATCAATAGCTCCCTCTTTGCACTATGCTGCCGGCAGGGACATTGCATCCTTGCTACTGGAAAAATTCGGCTTGCATGTGGCAGTCATTTTGCAAATGCATGTGAACTGAACTCGGATTTCAGAAGGCAAAGCTGGGTTCTCTTTTCAGTCTGTGCAACCTTGTTCAACCTCTGTTAGACTCATGCCTATAAGAAAGAATAAGACTTTAGACTATAAGAAAGAATAAGATTTTTGTCCCTTTCAGAGTTTGCCGTGGTGGAACATAGTCTGTAATTCATCTAAAACTGCTCACACGATACCTGGTACCTAACAAACAACAAGTAAGCAATGTGACTCTCCCAAGTAAACGGCTAACTGTGTCCATGTGTGCTTTCCCATCTTATATTTTGCAGAGGTGTCTGCTGTTTTTGAGGCTGGGACATCAGTTACTTACATGCTCCAAGAACCTTACCCTGTGACCAAGAACTTCAGCCTCTCGTCATCAGCTATTTACACAGACACGATGCCATCCAAGGAGAACATTGCACTTAGCTTTGTGACGGGTCGGGCACCCAGCCTCTTGCTCTTCGTGAATTCTTCTTCTCAGGACTTCCTGGCTGTTGTGCTCTGCAAGAACGGTGAGTGCAGGTGGCAGCCAGACACCTAATGGGAGTGTCAGACTGGGCTGCGAGGACCTTGACTGCCCTCCAGATCACAGCATCATTTCAGTCTCACGCTGGTTCCACCTGAGCAACTGACTCCCAGCCAAAGCCTTTGATTATCTCTTACCTTTACGAATTGCAATTGGTATTCAGGGCCAGTGTCAATTCACCACTGAAGTCTCAAATGCATTGACTTAATTTGCTTCAACCATGTCTCAGTAATTCTTTATTATTTATTCTGTGCTGGAATCCGTTAAGTGTAGAAGAGATGATCATATGCATATCTGAATTTCCAAAGGACAGTTGCCACATATATCCTGTCATCTTTGCTGCCATTCTCATTACTGAGGGCTGTTGAAACAACTGGCATAAATGCAAGCTGTATGAAACGGTATCAGTTGTCTAGGTCTCAAGAAGTAGTATATGTGGGTCATAATCTTGCAGAATGGGGGGGGGGGCTGGTTTCTGAGAATCAGATGACTTTTGAAGTTAAATATATATATATATATACACATAATATGTGCACACGTGTGTGTGTTTATACATATATATATATTATATGACAAACTCTGGCACTGCTATTCTGAAATAGCAATATTTGAGAAATTTTATCTGACAAAACTGTAATACAATTGTTTTATAAATCAAAACTTTATCACTTCCTTTCCCTTTATGATTATTTGCACTTGATATAAAATTCACAAATACAGGGTAGTGATTCAGTAATGCTAAATAAATAGACTCGATTATTTTTCCAAGGATACAATTCATTATTATTTAAGCTTTCTGGACGAGTGATGTGCTCAATTTAGCAGTATTTGAAAAACATTCAATTTCTCAATTTGCAGAGTATCTAAGAGAACCTAGACTCTTGAGATTAAATTGTCCATTATTAATGTAACAAAAAGGTAAGCATCAGAGTTTGGAAAGAATGTGGACAAAACTGAATATGAGATTAGCATGAGAAAAGAGTATAACTCACTTCTTACAAGAACTGTTAGGAAAAGGCAGGTGTTTCCCTCTGCAAGGAGGGAGACTTGAGATAGAGTCATGTCCAAGGACACTGTGAATTCAAATTCTATCAGAGGGACAATTGTTTGGCCAGGCACAGAGGGTAAAGACATGGACACTTTTGTTGTGCAACCTTAAAGGGCACTCCTGAGCCAGAGCAGAAAAGCAGCCTGGAAGATGCAGCATTCATGGAGCCCTTTTAATTTATTTACTCATTTATTTTTAAAGATAATAAATATATTTGAAAGACAGAATGACACAGAAAGAGGGACAGACAGGGAGAGAAAGAGATCTTTCAAACTACTATTTCACTCTCCAAAGAGCCACAACAGCAGGGTTGGGATGGATCAGGCTCAAGTCAGGAACCAGGAACTCCATCTCAGTTCCCTACGTGGGTAGCAGAGGCCCATGTACTTGGGCCATCCTCTGGTTTTCCAGGCACATCATCAAGGAGCTAAATTAGAAGCTGAGCAGCAGGGACTCAAACAGGCATTAAAATAATGGGAACAGGCCGGCGCCGCAGCTCAATAGGCTAATCCTCCGCCTGTGGCGCCAGCACACCGGGTTCTAGTCCCGGTTGGGGCACAGGATTCTGTCCGGGCTGCCCCTCTTGCAGGCCAGCTCTCTGCTGTGGCCCGGGAGTGCAGTAGAGGATGGCCCAAGTCCTTGGGCCCTCCACCCGCATGGGAGACTAGGAGAAGCACCTGGCTCCTGGCTTCAGATCAGCGCGATGCGCCGGCCATAGAGGCCAATTGGAGGGTGAACCAACGGAAAAGGAAGACCTTTCTCTCTGTCTCTCTCTCTCTCACTGTCCACTCTGCCTGTCAAAAAAAATAAATAAATAAAATAAAATAAAATAAATAATAAAATGAAATAAAATAATGGGAACCAGGTGATACATGCTACAGCTTCCAGTGCCAGCCTCTGGATCCCTTTCTAGACCTGGAAGAAGCTATAGATAATTCTTGTGCTCCCCTTTTCCTGATGTTATTTTTCTTTGCTTCAGCTTTCTTTATGACTTAGTACAACACTGAAAATAAAGAATGATCTATGAGCCTAAAAATAGGATCAAAACTAAGGAGCCTCTAGGGTGGATCAGGCCTGAAGTAGAATAATAATATGAATGGCCCGTATGATTTAACAGTCTTTTTCATTCTAAATTTAATCTGGAGAGAAGGGAAAAAAAAAGAGTAGGGAAAGACTAAGATGATTGTCCATTGCAAGTACATTTGGCCTGGAAAAAACCCTGCAAGAGGGAAACAAAATATTGTGGGTTATTAGACCTCCTATTTGTCAGCATAGCTTTCTATGAATAAAATTAAGTCTGATATCAAGTGTTTTACCCACAATGGCCCTTGTGGCTGTGAAGACAGTTTGAGCACATTACATCATGGGGTGATCAACCAGGCTAATGTGAGCCAAAGAGCTGATTTACGACACAGATGGATGCAGAACCCAGGTCTCCTAAGCAACCCATCAATCTCCCTCCTAAGCCATTTTGCCTTCTTATAATGTGGTTGGGACATACTACAATGATTGAATATTGACAAAGCAAAATGGGAATAACTATTTAGAAATATTGAATTCTGTCCTACTTCTATGAGGGAACTTCAAAAAGTTCATGGAAAAACATAATTAAAAATAAGTTTACTTTGGTACAAAAATATTGTGAAATCTATACATTTTTAAATAATGTACCTTTCCCATGAATTTTTGAAGACCTTCAAAACCACATCCCAGAGTCTTAGTTCATCAAAAGCTCTGCTTGATCTGTAGTCATTTGTATTTTCTTTCTTTTTCCTTTAGATTTATTTTAGTATTTGAAATGCAGATGGACAATTTGAGAAAGAGAGAAAAGGAAACAGAGAGAGAAATTTCGCCTGACAGTTTGCCCCTCAAATGGCCATAATGGCTGGGGCTGGGTCAGGCTGAAGCCAGGATTCTGGAACTCTATTCCTGACCCAGCCATGAGGATGGCAGGGTCCCTAACACTTGGTTCATTCTGTTGCTTTCTCAGGTGCATTAGCAGGGAGCTGGATCAGAAGTGGAGGAGCTGGGACTCAAACTGGCACTCATATGAGATAAATGCATGAAGCAAGGGGACATTTATGCCCGGTTTGTTTGTTTTATACTTGGGCTTCTGGGCAAGTGTGATTGCTTGAGTGGGAGTCCCTGTGAGCCAGGCAAACCTGGGCAAAAGAGTGTCTAAACTGGATTAGCACAGAGCCTCACTCCACTCAGGCTCCACCCCACATGACTCCAGGGAATTCTCCCATGGAAGGCAGTCACAGGCAATGAATGCAGTGATTGAGAATCCAGGGGATCTCCTGCCAGCTCCTTGTATCACAGAGATACAAGTCACATAGCTGCTCATTTGTTCATTCTTCCATGACCTCTCTGTGTAATTACCAGTCCAACTGCACAGTGTCAGGGACCATGGAAACAAGCAAGACAAGCAGGACATGATGCTGTCTCATGATGATAAGGAGGAAGGAGGGACTCACAAAAAGAAAACCTAGCTAGGGGAGAGGATCACATTACCTGGATGTTGCAGGTAGCATTTGATTAACTTTAAGGAGGAATCCTCTCCAAATTGAAGAATTATAACAGTGGGATAAAACACTTTGAGTGGTAGCGAGTTCCCCGTGATTGGAGATTTTCCAGTAAATAATTAAATATCTATTTGCTAGAGAAACTGTAATAACAATTCCAGTAATAGATGAGAGAGGAGTAATAACCTCTGAGTTCCTCCCCCAGTCTTAGATTTTGTGATTCCTTATTCCCTTTCTTTCTGTCAGGATGGTGAAAGGCTGCTTTGGGGAATTGAGAATTGATATCTTTGTAGTATATTCCCAGTATGCTTCTGGTATTAAGGCACTGACCTAATTACCAGGGAGTCATATGGGAGGAGATAACTGTGTTATCAAGAGCTAAGAATATTTAGAATGTGACTTTGATGCACTATAGCAAACAGGATACTTATTTTTATATAAACTAGAGGAAGTAAGGAACACTAACAGGTAGAAAATTGATCAGGAGAAGGAAGAGAGTACAGGGTTAACCTGGGGGGGGGTCTTTCAAGAGCATTTCTGAGGTGAGACTGAGTCATGGCCCTCTAAGATGGAATTCAGAGTCCTCTGTGAGTACAGATGCCTTAATCTTTTGGTTTTTTTGACTTAACATATATTTGTGAATCCAGTGATAGTTATGAAGAGGGTCACCCTTTTTTATTTTTAAGATTTATTCATTTATGTGAAAGGTGGTGTGAGAGATAGCAAGAGATAGAGAGAGAGAGAGAGAGAGGGCTTTCATCTGCTGGCTCATTCTCCAGGTAACCAAAATGGCCAGGGCTTGGCCCCCCAAAACCCCAGGACTTCATCCAGATCTCCCATGTGAATGGCAGGGGGACATAGCTCTTGAGCCATTCTCCTCCTTTTTCCCAGGTGCATTAGCAGTGATCTGAACCAGAAGCAGAACAGTCAGGACTTTAACCAGTACTCACAAAGGGTACTGGCATCAGAAGTGCTGACTCAACCCATTGCCCCGCACCCTAGCTTTAGAGGGGTCACTCTTAAATGGAGTGTTTTCTGTCTTCCTCAGGAGGTAGCAAATGTCCATTGCCAGGTTCTCTTTTGGAAATATGGCTCTCTTGTATCAGTCTGAGTTGAGAAACCAGGGTGGAGCTGAGTGGATGATTTGTATGAACCTTGAACAGAATCCTAGGATTGCAAATTGAATTCAGTGGATCATAGCAGAAGATGGTAGTTGATATGTCTCAAAGCTGTGCTCACAAGGCCCTCCAGGCATGGGCTTCCTTTGGCAAATTTGGAATTCTTTGCCTCTATCATTATTCTGGAAATTTCTCCACCTGGAGATTATTATAAGCTGTTGCCATGTTTTTCCTAAGTGGAGAAGGGGATTTTAGCTTCTGAGATTGAACAGCAGAGGCAGCAAGGAAGACATTT